ATATATTTATATATATATATATATATATATATATATATATATATATATATATATGACTCCTAACAGCTCTATGAATTTCTACTTTATATTCGACTCCCATCAGACCCATGACTGGCATCAGCTCTATAACTCCCATCAGATCTATATAACTGGCATCAGATCTAAAACTGGCACAAGCTCTATGACTCCCATCAGATCTATGACTACGGCACGAAGCCCTACTCAAGACGTGGACACACGTTCATTAGAGACCATTAAAATAGGCTATACGTTAATAGCACCAAATCGAGTTCGTCGCAGGTCTCAAGCCATGGGCCCCGTCTAGTCCCCGCTTTTACGCGTGTGCCTCAGTGGTATTGCTGATGGCCACCACTTTCTGAAAGTCCATTGCAGCCTGGAGTTCTCTCCCGGGGTCCCGCACGGTTTGTAGTGGGTTTTTTTTTAATTTTTTTTTTTAAATATATACTTTATCGGGTTATTCTCTCACACCAGGAAATCCCGGACGCTTTTTGTTAGTGGAAGCAATCGCGACTTTATTTTATATTTTTGTGTAGGAGGAATTCATTTTGTTTAGGTGTTAGTAATGGAAGATTTCTGTTCATTACTGGTACTTACTATAGGCAGTGTTGAAATCACTCGTTAGCTTCGTCAATTAGACTTGTAACAATGATATTGTGATAGAGCCATTATAAGTTTTATTCTTAAATAGAATTAGAGACCAGTGAGTACGTGAATAATTAGTACTAAACCGTTACAGCGTTCCGATTATAAGGGGCGGCCCTGGGTACAGGCAAATCAGGCGACTGCCCGGGGCGCTTAAGTCTAGGGGCGTCATTTTGGTCGCAAAATAAAAATAATTAATTAAACACTAAATTCACGTAAAATTATGCCGTTGGTCGAATCTCTGGTGATAGGTCTATTTCTTTTTTACAACCAACGTGGCTAATGGGATTAACAGACAGTCTATTTAAATAAAGAAAATAATTGGACATCCTAAATAAACAATTTATTACTTATCCTAAACAAACAATTTATAACTTCTGAAAACATGAGCGGCATTTAATAATATAATAATAATTTTTTATTTTATTTTTTTCTCTTTTTAAAAACAAAAGGGGGGTGGCAGCGGAAACCTCAAACTTCTCTCATCGACTTCCGCTGCCGCCCTTTTGCGTTAATAATAAATTTAGTGGAGGAATGCTTATTATTATTATTTTGAATGACAACTATAATTTAAATTAGAAGACTAATGATTAATTTTTTTTTATGGTTGTTAATAATTAGGTCACATTATATAACACTAACAAAAAAAATGTTGCACAAAAAATATAAAAAATACCGGTATAAATTATAAATAAGTGAAAAAAAAATCAAATATATTGATCTTAGCGATATTTTGATTCTACATTCCCTCATTCTAATACATTGCAGGTACAATTTAAAACTCTCTTTATAAAAATAATGACAAGAGTTGTTTTTTTTTTAATTATAATTTCCCTTTATTATTTTTATATCTTTTTTTCCTGGGAGGGGGGAGGTCGGGGGGCGTGCCCCAGGGGGTCGGGGGGCTTGCCCCAAAGGTATCTTAAATAAACACGTTGCATATAATAAATATATAAAAAATACCGGTATATGGAAACAACAGGAATAATCGGGAGCTGGCTGTTACTGTAACTATACGGTATTTAGAATCGAATGCTTATCTAGATTTGCGTTAAGCATTCGAATCATCAAATATATTGAACGTCGTGACAATTAGTTGGTTCTACTATTTCACCAATTTTATCAAAACTGGTGACGTAAAATGCCAAGCCATTTTTTTTCTTTAATAAATTGTTCTTTCGATTATTTGTTGTACACATTTTAACCCGAAAGGGGGGGGGGGGGAAGGTGACTGCGCCGCCCCCCCCCCCCCCCCCCCCCCCCACCCCCCCC